GTCATTCAAAATGAGCAACACTCACATGGACGCTTGATGACTATTCGAAGTCAATCCCAATACGATTGGGACCCTGGCCGGACACTAGGTCTGCGTGGATTGTGAAGCCCTGGTGAGTGAGATTGCAAAGCACTGTCGTACTAGACGAAGGAACGTGTTCCCATGCATTTGAGCTCCAGTCACTATGTGGATACTGACACCTAGAAAGGAAAACTCCTAGAGTGCATGGTAACCTGTATTCATGGGCCTGGTTATTGAGGTTGTAGTCAGTCGGAGCGTTAACAACTGCGGAATGTTCGCACCAATGCACTGGAATCAGGTGGGCTCACAGTTGTGCATCATACATCATCATCCCAATGGGAGAATATTTATCCTCAAGAACCCTAATAAGGTGAACGTGTAACACTTCCATTTGTAGGTAAGAATAACAACCAAAGTTTCCATGTTACGAGCATTTGCATGTCGAATAGTAAGTGCGCAATAAACGACGACTTACCGGCAATCTCAAACGTTACCTCCGTTCCGGTTGGGTCACTAATGGCATTCTTTAGGATCCACGCAAGTTAGCATGAATTTAATTCGCTCCATCTATCCGTCAGGGAGCACAGAACACTGAGTTTCAGAGTCGTAGTAATTCTGCACCATTCTCGGCGATTGAGAGCACCTCAGGCATAACACTGCGCTGGATCAACAGTATATATATATATATATATATATATATATATATATATATCTTGTGTTTTCATGCGGCTTCTGCTTACGATGTTCGCGTGGAGCACAGTATTGATAGTGGGTTGCAGAACATCCGTCGTTTCGGTGCGAGAACCCTAGTTTGTGAGACAACTAACTCTGAAGCGGACCCCGACCCAACCACCGCCTTGGATGCGCTTGTTCCCCAAATACAGCGTGTTTGTGTTTGGTTGTCTCAGTATTCGCTGAGCTCGGCGGTTTGATTGCAAACATTTCGTCATGTGAAGCAGTGTGGGCCGGCTCCGTTGATGAAGCGTGGCTCCCATCCGCACGCCTCCCGCTTATTCCTTCGGGTTTACACGTCAATGTAGATTGCACTTCCGGTGAAGGCTGAAAGATACAGACAATTTTGCTTGTGTGATGGTGAGTCCGAATTCGGCCGCTGTCGAAGCCAGAGCACTAGTCATGTGTTGCAACTTATCCTCGCTATGTGCAAACAACACACAGTCGTCAGCGAAAAGCGAAGCACAGATAGTTGTCTCACAAACTAGTGTTCTCACACCGAAACGACGGATGTTCAGCAACCCACTATCAATACTTTGCTCCACGCGAACACCGTAAGCACAAACCGCATCAAAAGCACAAGACACTATGGCGTGAAGATGAACATTAAACAGAGAAGAAACTAAGACACAGTCTTGCTTCATTCCCGGGACAATTGCAGTCATCCGATGTCCCTCCACTCAGCTGCACCTTCGCCCGCATACCACTGTGAACACATTCAATTAAACTCACAAACTTACGCGGGCAACCAAACTTACCCAACACCAACCACAATGCCTCGCTGTTCACCGTATCAAATGCTTTGGTGAAATCAACAAAAAGTGAGAACAATGGCTGGTGTCGTCCACTGCACTTCTCTTGCAACTGACCAGCCGCAAACACCATATCTATAGTGCTGCGACCCGAACGGAATCCACATTGCTCTTCCGCCACGTTCGTTTTCACAACCTGATTGACGAGGCGGTTTAGCAGGATTCCGGCAATCACCTAGCCCACACAACTCAGCAAGTTGATACCACGACAATTCGTGGCACATTGCTTGCTCTCTTTGCCCTTGTGCACTATTAGCATAAGGGCATCCTTCAGCTCAGGATGCATCTCCACCTCAATCCACACGCGTTGCACCAAGTGGTGCAGTGCAGTCACCAACGCAGGTCCGCCCTGCTTCAAGACTTCAGGCTGGATCCCTCGGCAACGGCAAAGTTGCCATTTCGCAACTGAGCAAGTGATCTCGGCGTCTCATCCACTTTCGGCGAGTGCGCCAGACTTGCCTTCACATTGTGATGCTTCAGGTCGTTCAAAGTAAGCCAGTCGACCTGTGAACAGTTGATCCAGAGACAGTCAGTGTTTATGCCAGATCTGCAGTCTGCGTAGTCAGCGCTTGAGTTACCATCAACCAGCGTCCTCAGCAGCTCCTACCACGGTCCAAACATCGCCTTCAAGCAGTAAAAGAATTCCTTGTGTTGGCGACGTTCCGCATAGCATTCCATCTGCTTCGCCTTCTCCGTCCACCATGCATTTTTAATAAAGAATTGCGGGTCAGTCGTCGTCGAATTCTGCCAAACTTTCTCTTCTTCCCCAAGTCACTGGGGGCTGTCACATGTGCAGAAAATGCTGCATTCTTCTCATATACCAATGCGTCAATCGTCGCATTATTCTCATCAAGCCAATCGTGTCGTTTGTGCGCCCGATGGTCTCGGCGGCAGCTGCCATGTGACCGGGAATGTGGTGCCACAGGTCGCCCAGTGACGCTATGCAGTCCACATCACACATCATGCAACCATCGCCTTCGCCAGCTCCATTCCCTTCTGAATAGTAACTTGGGAGCGAATGGTAAATTTAAGCCAACTCATGGCGGGAGTGCAATACATAGATCTACGAAGGCATATGTACAATTTGGTCCGCACCACTTTTTGATCAGTACCACATTCAGCTACACGCAGTTAACGTGTCACGCGCACTTCACTCATGTCACGCTGACGTACGATGACATAGCCTATCAGGCGAGCGTGAAGACTCCGTGAGTGCGTCCGTTGCTATATCGCTCGCACTTAGTGCAAACCGAGTGTTCGTGGTCGTCAGGTCGTGAGTGGATCACAGTGAGAGCAGCCTGTCAACGTTCGCATTCACTGAGCCAATGCCATGCGGACTGATGACACCTATCCACACCGGTGCACCACACCCAACGCGCGCGTTGAAATAACCCAGTAGAAATAGTCGGCCGCTCTTCGGCACAGACCGTATCACGGAGGATAGCTGGGTGTAGAACGGATCACGGGTGTCATCAGCATAACACATGGTCGGACTGTACATGCATATAAAAGTGGCAAACTTACCTCTTCCGAGTCGTAGGCGAGCAGTCATCAGTCGCGTGCTGATGTTCGTTGGTCCACACACGAGCTGGCCATGGAGGCGATCGGATATTGTAAATCCGACCCCATGCTCACGTGGTGCTGTGGTGGCGTTGCCCAACCAGTAGAACGTATATCCAACACCTGTTTCATGTAACTTACCTTGCGCAGCGAGCCGCGTCTCACTGAGCGCCACAATATCGATGTTGTACCGCGCCAATTCCATCGCGACCAGTGCAGTGCGCTGCTCGGGGCGTTTACTCGAGTTCCGGTCCAGTAGTGCGCACATTCCAACACCCGATGCTGTGCACTGCGAACAGGCATACGACTGCATTAGTGGGAAACCGCAAGCGTGGTGGCGGTTATGTCTCGGAGGTTTGCTTGAGGGACTCCACGCGGAGACTTCGGCTTAATAGCTTGACCCGCTTGAGTAATAAACATTTGGCATATGAGTAGGAAAACAAGAATGAGGAAGAGAGTCAGAGGAAGGGATGCAAAGATCTATGGCGTTGTGTAGACAGTGAGCTTTCTGGATGCCCAGGCGGAGAAAGAGTGTTAAGGGATGCCACCCAAAGCCTCTGGTTTTAAAGACCTGACCCGCAAGGTAGCTAGGCGAATACGAAGACCGTTGACAGCCAGGTGGCTCATTGGCTTTTTTGTTCGGTTGCAATCCACAGAGAAGCCGATGGCTATCAAGATTGTTCATCCGCTCTGCGTTAGATACTCACCTGCAGTTACAGAAATGTGGTCAATGACCCTATAGCCGATCACACGGGCTTTGACACAGCGGCGTACGGGCTCGTAGGATACTTGCTGGAGAACCAGGTGACCAGCCCAGAACTCCTCACGCTCTGACACCTTGCCGCTGGTTGTCCGCTACCGCTTATTCATCTGACCTGCAAAGCAGACGAGACTCATTTGCAGTTTCCTCTACAAGGAAGACATTTCCCAATCCGCAACCTGGGGAGGTGCCCGATAACGTATAGCCCCGCCACGTGGGTCTTCTTTCAAAATTTGTATCACGATCTGAGGGATCTGTCCCGATGCCGGGGATCACATCGGTGCCCACTTCAATAGCTCATACATCTCCCCGTTTAAAGTGTAATAAGTCGGACGTCACAACGATCAGCTGGAAGAATAACACAACATTGTGAAATGCGCTTGGAACCGAACCAGAAACCATGATTCCAGAACAGGTATAAGATAGACATTTTGATATATTTGGTGAGCAACATATCGCTTTTGTCACAAGAGCATCGTTTAGTCATGTGAATCAGTAAAGTATCAAGTGGAGTAAACTAGGGAGATAAACGCGACAGTACAAAGATGTGCTGGAGAATAATCACCAAGAACAACTGCGGATCAACAACCATACCTTCTCGGCATTTTGAATGAAGGAAGTGCAAAATGTGCGTGGATTTCGCGTCATTTCGCTATCACCCACACAAGGAGGGGAAAAGCTACGCACTCGAGTGGGAGCAGCACAATCAAGTGAGGTGAAATTTGGGTTGTGATAGCTGGTGGTTAACGCGAGACCCAATTGACCTGAGTTCTGAAATACGACGGTACTAGGGATAAATGTCAGAAAGGTTAGCAAGAATTCGGATATTAAGAGAAAAAACGAGAGGTTATAATCCTTAGACGTAAAGATTAACAAGCAGATGTATCAATGCAATCAAAAAATTGATTTCGGAAGAACGAAGTTGTCGCAAACCGGATTACGGTGACGACGTTGGCAAACCCCAAGTGTTGCGCCAAATAGTTTTGAGCGCATATGAATGAAAGGTATGTTTGGCAGCCTTTGTTTCTGCACATAACAGGGCCGACGTAAAGGCCTTTCACAGTCCCCAGGGTCACATTAAGCGGACTGAAATAGCAAAAGTTTCGGGGAGGACGTCAGGCACGGAATCCAGCACCTGATTTGGTGAGACAGCGGCGAGCTGGGAGAACAATCTGGAGGGAATATTTTAACAAAAGAAGACATACTTTAACTGAGGAGCAAAGGTAAGCAGCGGAAAGTAATTGAACAAGATACGGTTAAATATGTAATTTTAAAGGAAACAGGTCGCGAAGGTAAAATGGTACCATAATTGTGCTATAACCGACAGAGAAACAATGCACACAACGCTGCATTCCAATTTGAGAACACCGAGCAGTGTCTGCCTTCCATAATGAATTGGCGATTTTGATAAGTCGACAAGTGAGTTCAGTAAACGCTGTGGAATGGAATAGCCTCATTTTGTTCTGGTAAAAGCCCTCACGCCATCACCAATGAGTTGGATCGACTGTTGCCATTGGTTTGCATTCGTTATGGATGTATCAAGCTTTGCGAAAGGGGAACAAAAACGGGGTGTTTGTCGCTGGTGGGTGGACTTGGGTTTGCCGTACGATGAAGGTTATCGCACGCATGCGACTTCAAAATGCATCCGTGAGTGTACAAGACAAGAAATGAGCAAACTATGCCAACAGATAACTAAATGGGACAAACGGCCTGGATTCATTTCACATGAGTGAAATGACTCAGTGACATAGTTCTCTGGCTCGCAAGAGTAAAGTCATGAGCTCGAATCCGATAGAATTCGGGAGGTGCGCGCTATTGACGAGTCCCAATGGGACGAAAAGGAGGTTTACCGCTTTCCTAGATGTGTGATGACTTCCAAGCTGCGACGAATATTGTCAAAAATAACAAATCCCTACACTAAACACCAGTAAACAGTAATGGCCCTAGCAGCTTACAAGATTGGTGGCGGGTTGCAAGGAAGCAGTAGGTCTGCGGTCCAGCCCTGTCTTCTTACTTAATTTACTGTGGCTAGATCATGCGACAGGATGAACCGGCTTCATGAATGTTGTGGACTGCAGCTGGCCAAGCGCGACTGTTAGCGACAAGCTCCGCGCAGATACTGATAAAATAATTCCTCCAGTGACGAGCGCCATGCACAACAAGGAGTCCCAGAAGATCGACATCAGCTTTCACTGCAGCGAGCCACATTTCCAACTATCCACCACGGCGACGACACCAACCCTGCCAAGGGAGGGCAAAACTACGGCCCTAGTGAAGTCAGTGTCTGGTCAGTGGAGGACGTAACCGAACCACTGAAGTCTGCGGCGTCGGATGAGCATCGTGTGATACGGAAGACCGTAAAAGTGCTTACGGATTTCCTCATTGGTGATACGCTCCTGCCACTGCGTTTTCAAGATAAGCCTTAGGCACCAATGATCGAACACTCCTAGCTTCCGGGTGTCTTCGGATCGCAGCGGGCATGTTTCGAAACTATAGAGTAAAATGGCACGAAAGATTGCTGAGAATACTCGGATCTTCGTTCTCAGACTAATTTCCGTCCTTCGCCGCAAGGTTTCTCAGTCGTAAGAAGGCTGTTTTAGCGCTGTCAATACGATTCCAGATGTAGCCTGACCATTGGGGAGTATAGTGAATCCAAGATAGTTGAAAACAGGAACAGATTCGACGAGTTGTCCAGGTAAGGAGAGCGACAGGGTGGACTGCGTGGCAAACGATGAGAAGTACTTCGTCTTGTTGATGTTAATTTCGAGGCCGGCCATACAGGCTGATTGGTCGACCCGATTTAGCAGTGACTGTAGCAATATAGCATCTTCTGCAAGGATAGCGATATCGTCAGCAAATTCTAAAGCAAATAGCCAGAAGTCAGAGCTAACCTGAACACCACGATAGCCCTCAAGGGAACGATGCATAACACAGCGGACTGCGAAGTTGAACAGCATTGGAGAAAGTGGGCAACCCTGCCGGACTCCAGTATTGATGTCGAATTCCTTTGTTTCTTCCCCTTAGACCCGAATTCGGGCCTTCGTGCAACGGTGGTATGATCTCATCAATCAAGTCAACGAGTTTAACCAGCACGCCATCGGCCAGTAGGTTTCTCCAGAATGCTTGGCGGTCAACTGAGTCAAAGACAAATCTAAAATCGACGAAGCACACAAAGGTTGTCTGCTGGAGGTGGTAGTGGTGTTCGATTACTCGACGTACAGTGAAAATTTGATTAGTACAACCTCTGCCTGGACGGAAGTCACTTTGGTTATGGCGAGTGCGCAGATTTTTCTCGTTGGCAAAGCGGAAAAGCAAGATTCGTGCGAACGTTTTGGCATCCACATCGATTAGGCTAATCCCGCGATAATTACTGCATACAGTTCGGCCAACTTTCTTGGGAAATCGAAGTAGTACTGAGGTACTCCATGAGGAAGGACAGATTTCTATCTCCCATGTGGATCAGAAGAGCTCGTGCAAATGCTCAAGGAGAGCTGGTAGACAAGGTTGGTAAATTTCCGCTGGAATCCCGTCCGCTCCAGGAGCATTCTTCGGCTTCAGGCGACGAACGATGTCTGCAATTCCTGTGGAAGATGGCGGTGAGCAATCCGCGTCATATCCTGACTGTGTTGATGCTGAAATGGGCACGGTGGTGTGCAGTGGGCGGTTTAGGAGGCTGCTAAAATATTCTACCAATCTGGGAAGTTTTCCTTCCGTATGGGGGATGATTTGCCTTCCGAATTGCGCAATATCGGCTGTGGTGAACGGCGCTTGCCGGAATCTAAACTGACGAGACGAAAGAGATGATCCAAATTGCCAGAATTTGATGCAGCTTCCAGGTTATCTGCGATAACAGACCAGTGGCGGTTGCGATTATTCCGTGCTGAGCAGGTTGCCTCACGTCTCAAGCGACGGTAGTCTGAGGAGTTGGTGAGACGTGTTTCTCTCGCTTTAGCGGCCAAGCGGATAGTATCTTCAGTGATCCAGTCCAGGTTTAGAGATAGAATCCAGGGTAGCTAAAGTGGCTGTCGTTGAACTGACAATTTTAGCCTAGACCAACGAGCGTCTACAGATTCATTTTCTGCAAGTATGAGGCGTGGTGTAGTGGCAGAAATTTCTTCTTCTATTACTGCGTCAATGGATCGGCAGCAGTCAGTATTTTCCAGTGTGGCAGAAATGATACGCTTTGGTGGAAAGGTCTTTCGCCGCGTTGTCAAACGAAGTCTGAATTTGGCGCGCAGGAGTAGGTGGTCCGAACCAACTTCACTGCCTGTTTCAGCCCTTCCGCAGGCTCGACAGTCATCGATGGAGAACATCCACCTGGATCGGATTAAGATGTAATGTATCTAGCTTACTGTACGACCATCGTTGGAGTACCACGTCAGAAGATGTTTCCTGGGATGATGTAAGCGAGTACTGGTAACGCACAACCAGATAAGATCAGCGAAGCTGAGCAAGCGGTCTCCATTATCACAGCGCTCTCCAAGGGCGTATCTACCGAGCATGTGCCGGATCTGATGGTTCCTAGGCCCGGTTCGTGCATTCCAGTTCGCAGCAATAATGAGGATGTCACATTCTGGAACATGGTTCACCACTGTAGAGTATCGTAAAATTCGTTTTTATCCCTTTCCGCTGAGGGTAGGGTTGGTGCGTAGACAGAGATTTTGGTAAGATTCATCGGGTGACTTTTGAAGTGTGCAACTGCTATTCTAGCTGATACTGGCTTCCATGAAAGGAAAGTGCAGTGTGCCTGGAAATTGAGAGCCATGGCGACCCCATGATTGCCAGAATTATCTTCCGGCCCACGGTGGTAAAGCCAATATGAGGTGTCTAGACGAGGGACTTTGATTTGTCGAGAGGCATAGCCGGGTATTCGGGATTTTGACAGACATGCTATGTCGATGCAAGGCAGCAGGGATCTGGGAAATTGTCTTAAGTTCTGGCCGTTGGATCAAGGGTCGAATACTTCCGCCCAGTTATCAGGACTGACGTTGCACGCGGGTACGAAGTCGACGAAAATAGTATTCTCGGCTAGCCTCACCTGGTTTAGCCCGCCTGCCTGACGGTTGACCGGGGTGTGGCCGCTGTCGCGTGCAACCAGCTTCTTGGAGCCACAGATGAGAGCTGAGTGACAAGTGGAGACCATAGATAGGCGGACTATCCCGGAGGGTAAGGCAGCTCCCCTACCAGAGGTGCTACTCCTCCTCCTTCTTGGCACCCCGGACACCTCATCGCTGTCCTCTGCACGTTCATAGTATGCATGACAGTGGAGGATGAGCCGCGCTACGTCTCAAATGGATGACAGTCATGGCAGACCGCCGCCATCACCAATGGTTAGTGGAAAACCGCTGGGTTTGTATCAGGCAGGATTGGACGAGTGCGCGCTACTGGCGAGTCCCAATAGGACGAAACATTCGTCTAGCGCCTTCCTGAATGTGTGGTGGCTGTCTGGCTTAGACCAGCTACGACGAATATTCTCATTTCATACGTGCTCTCTGTAAATAGATTAAAATGGCTGGCTCTAAAACAAGTTATCTAAACCCGAGCCCACATCATTGGCCGCGGGCGATTCTGTCGATGATAGCAGAAGGATCGGGCAGTGAAACAAGGACTGCATGAACTGACATAGGACAAGATAGACGATGTGACCTAACTTGAGCAAGTGGTGGAAGTTGAATGCGAGGCATCTGACACATCGAGCAATCATTTGCATACATAAAAAATGAATGAAAAGCCTGCTTTTCACTAACGTGTACGATGACCTCACTCCGTTTCCGGATCAAACAGATGTTGTTCGTTTGCTCCACAGAATAATCAGCCGGCAAGCTGAAAGGAAAACGATTTCTACTATCACAGCACATATAGAACTGACATAATTATGAATCAACACAAACGAGGTAAAGAACCGTTATGAGAGTTGTCATTGGGGTAAACATAGGTATAGGAGAGGGCATCGGCACAGACTAAATGGCACCCCGTGTCGATAGCCGGTGTTACTGTGAGAAAAGTCCTAGTTGTTTCGACTCCAGGTCAAAATGGAAATCTTTTCGACTAATTGTAAAGCAAACACAGAGCAGCCAAGTGAATTCAGATCATGGCGGTCTAAGGGAGTTGGCTGCTAAACAAGTGCACGAAAGTTGAGATTAGAGAAAAAAAGGTAACTTCGCATGACTGCACCGAGAACTAGAAAAAAGACTACCTGAAAACAATAGCTCGTTCACTGATGTAATCAAAATAATCGTATTTATAACCCAATAGCATAGCAGTACAATGCATAATTGGGTGGCATACCAGGTGTAAGGTCGAATAGACCTTTGAGACGCAACCGGTCAAGGTGGTTGGGCAGAGAGAAGACGATAAGTTGAAGAAGCTTGGCATGTGACATGAATGATCACTTACGGTTTGCAAAGCAATTATGCGGATGAAAGCAAGTCAACAGTGAAAGAGAGTACAGAAGTCGATAATATTAAAATAGCTGTGAGTCAAATGTCCATTTTACTCTGCTGTTGTCAGAATAATGGGATTATTGTTTGGCCAATGCGTCGCCTGAGTACGAAAACCAATCTGGTACTCCAAATGGCAGTAGCCGCGTATAATGAACGAAGTCAAACAACGCGCCCTTTAATCACGAGGCTTCGTTTCGGAATGCCGCAGACACCCGGGAACTTATCGCAAACATATAGAAGCAACAGATTTCAATTCATTATTTAAACAACTAAAGCCAAATGAAAAACGGTGTCGAGTGACAGGTATATAGAGCATAGCAGTTTGTTATGATTCGCAATGATTCGTTTATCCCTATCTTCAGCTGAACATTCGCAGGTTGAGAATGCCCCAGACAATTAAGAGCAACCAAGGTCGCGTAATCTAACGAACACCGGAAAGTGAGCGCTAGGCAATTTCAAACGGCGGCATGATTAAATCGACCGGTAACTTTGGACAAACCTGGGCCACCTACTTCTGAGTGACCTATTTGAGTTGGGCAAGGCCTAGCTATCGACAAGGTCATGTATCTCGATGTGAGCGAGTGATCAGGAAAAATGTGATGTTGACAATACACAGCGAAATAGAGTGGCCGCCATTGGTAGTGCGACAAGCATCATCCCCGAAACGTCATCCAACGTAGTGTTCTGATCTTTATAGGAGAAGTTGAACACACACAACACAAGCAACCGACGGATTTTCCATACTTTTAGCCAGGATGGTCGTTTACAGAGTACGACTTTGACAGCTGGTCGAAACATAGGCTGAAGCGATAAGAAGCATCGTTTACCCAGTCACTAATCATGAGATAAGATGGAATGACTAGATTGAGTCATTCATTGGGATGCACACTAGAAGAGCAGCCAGATTTTGACAAAACGAAACACGAGACCCGAAGCGCGTAAGTCCACTCCTGAGTACAGTAAGTGCAGACAGAGTGGAACCGTGTTTGGTTCATGCGCCCGATAGTAAGTAGAATATACTAGAGTTAGGCCAATGCTACTGAACGAAGTTTGGTGCAATCGCTGCGTCCCGTTCCGCATAAAACCAGGGGACTAAATAGCAGTGGAGCAGCCGTCTTATGCCCGGATGAGCTCTTTACCAGGATATTGATGTTCTCAGCAGTGTTTCAAGGACATAGGATATTCCATTTCTGAGGGACTGTAAAGTTCCAGAGAATGCTGACTATTAACCGATAAGGCATAGAGTGCAGACACGGATAGACCTAACGCGTGGACGATTTGACTTCCCTATTATTGAGGCTGACGATGAAAGGCCTCTCCGAAGAACACTTGAAAAGGAAGGAGACAGAAGCAGAGAACAGGTCACTGGACACGTGTGATTTGTCCAAGCCACAGGGAGCCTAAAACCTAACACACAGAAAATAAGCGCATTTGTGCCTGATTTGAAACACGGACCCGAAATGGACCGCCGTTTTGTTCTGTCAGTGTTCGTCAGCGCTGGATACACTGTCTGTCTGTCGACAGGATAGAGCTCACGACCTCCACAATTAGACTATAAAAAGCGGAAACTACGGTGACCGGGTAACGAGCCGGGAAGTAGTACGTTTGGTCTTTCACAGTAACGCCCAGTTCCAAGACACTGAGCGCATGTTAGCAATAATGAACCAATCAGGGTAGGTACATTCTCTCTCTATGTAATACTACATTAGCTAGTGATACTACATTTGTGTCCCGAAAGTGTGCCGATTTTTTAGTTAAATACATATAAAACATACTTGAAGTTACAAATTATCTCCTTCAAAGCATGAGGCTTGCGAAGTTACACAGTGATTCCAACATTTTTTCTGCAAATGATTTGCCGTAAGAGTGCTAAGTGCATTCGTTACGATTATACGGCTCCATGATGACGACATTGTAACGCACATTTCAACTTAAGGAAGAGGTAGAAATCGTATAGAGGAAGATCAGGTCAGTATGAAGGTGTTGTGCGGATGGTTTCCTTGGCTAAAATATCTCGAACTGAAAACGCTGTGTGAATAAGTGCAGCGCCCAATCATCGTCAATGTTCCTTCAGACTCGCTGGACCCATTTTCGAAGTCGTTCTAAGACACTTTAGTGGAAGGCCTAGTTAACTGTCTGTTCAAGAGGCATAAATTCATTGTGTACAATTCCATGACTGTCAAAAAATAAACGACCGTCGTTTTCACCCTAGATCTGCTCATGCGTACTTTCTTTGGAGGGGAAACTGGCGAGTGCCACTCCTCAGTTTGCCGGTTGGTCTTGGGATCTTACTCGAACATTTACGATTCGTCTCCTACAATTATTTTATCCAAGTACGAGTCTTCCCGGCTAATGCGCACAATCCCAGACTTTGTTTTCTCTATACAGACAAGTCTTTGGGCACAAGATTTTCACGAATTTTTCGCATGCGTAGAAGTTATGTTAAAATTCCATTAACTGCACTTTTGTCCAGGCCAGTTTCCTATGCACTTATCCCGACATTCAACCGGCGGTTGTTCGGCAGCACATCTCGGACAACATTGATCGCTTGTTGACAATATTGGCCTTCCGAAACGAGTTGTCTTCAATATACGAAGGGTGATCAAAAAGAAACCGAACTTTAGCTAAGAAGATTATTATTGCTCGTTGCACAAGATGTCAAACACTTTCCTCCTCAAAGTAGTCCCCTCTACAAGTAATATACGGTTCTCAACTGTGTTTTCATTTTTGGAAAGCACTTCTGGGACGCACTTTCTGGGATGGCGCGCAGGTCTGTCGCATTTTCCTGAATCTTTTCTATAGTTTGGAAACGATGTCCTTTCAACGTGGTTTTAAGTTTGTAAAACAGGAAAAAGTTCGCAGGGACAAAATCCGGAGAATACGGTGGATGAGACACAAAGGTAATGTAATGTTTTTCTAAATAGTTGCCGACAAAGAGGATGTGTGAGCAGACGTATTGACATGTTGTAATATCTGACCCTGGTTTTCCCACAGTTCAGGCCCCTTCCTGCGCACAACATCCCTCAAATGCACTAGAAATTGATGGCATAAATTTACAGCAACTTTTCGAACAGTTAAACGACGGCTTTCACGGACCACAGCATAAACTCTCTCGACAAGGTCATCGTCTGCGAAGGTCGTCTAACCTTGTGATCGTCACCGACCGATTTTCTGCCGTGTTCAAAACACTTAAACCACTAATAGCACTGCGTGTGACTTCTACAGTCCTCCCCGTATAATTCGCTAAGCAACTGAAATGTCCCTGTAGAAGTTTTGCCAAGTTTGTAGCAAAATTTCGTACACAGGCGCTGCTCTTCAAGCTCTTTCATTTTCTCTTTGTCCCTACTAAGACAAACAGCTTGTGCACGTGTTTAGTTCAGCGGCTGTAGCTCCAGAACCAACAGCCAGAAGGGAATGCGGCAAATGACAGCTGATTGTCTAACCAAGGCTCCACATGCGTGCAGGAGCAGCAGTGCGATCCCTCTGACGATTTCCGCGCTATTTCAAAGTTCGATTTCTTTGTTGAACATCCTCGTATGTTACCAAAAAACCACATTCCTCGATAGAATGGTATCTTTATAAGCCTCCGTCACATTTGCAAATTTCTAGGTGGTAAAGTTCATGAGTTGTATACATAATATGACAGCGCAACGATGCTCGACATTTCGCTCTATTGCAAACGTAACGAGGTACCAACACACGACCTTACACAAAGTACTGTAGCGTGGGAATGACTGAACCGATCGAGTTGAAACAAGTCTAGAGATGCGACGATCTCCACCAATGAGATGGTAATATGTCCAGTAGTACATAGGGAAATCAGTACAGTTGTAATTGGGAGATGGTAGCATAGTACGCAGTACCAGCGCTTCGCTACCACGCGACAATCAACAATCGCGCGTGGGTCGTCAGGTCCCCTGCATTGGCTCTATCCCGAGAACTCCGGAATACAAGGCAGACGTAAAAACAGGTATGGGCACCGTCCGGTGAGATTATGGAGACGTGAATCGAAGCGACTAGAACTAGAGTCCCACATGTGCCATTAATATTTGAGCAAAAAGAACCGAACTGGGCCTAGTATAGTGAAATATAATGGCTACTGATAACCGCCACCGGCTGCCAACCAGTTGTTTTGAGTAACCGAGTAATATGCCGGATGGGATAGATAAACATTAAAACGGGATGGATAAAAGCAAGAACAGGGCAGTGGTAAATTTCAACATCCCGTGTTTTCGCATTCCAGCCGATGACCTTTGTGCGTTCACGGGGTCTGCAGTAGATGGCAACAATCGGAGTGAGGAAAGCAGAAGAAGCACATCAGCACTACAGGCACGCCTTGCTACAATGCAGATGTAGGTGGTTTCACGTGGATTGGGTAGAACCGAGGTGCAAAAGTACAGTCTAAGAAGCCGAGGAGCATAGGAAGCAACCTAAACGCGTAAACCACTAGATCTATTCAGTGAGGTCATGAGAGTATACATGGGTCTCATGAGCAGAGAGAGTAGAGAATATAGGTCGTTGGAAGATATCTCGTTGGACAGCAACACGAAGGCAAGATAAAAATTGTGGACCACGCCACTACCGATGTCATCTGCAAGGCAAAACTGGGAAGACTGTTCCCTTGTCATGCAATTGCTCAAAAATTAATGAGCGTGTTGGAGATATTGCGAGGTGCCATCAAAGCGCTAGAATAGTTGCAGCCCTCGAAGGCAGCTTGATGTATCAAAGATAAAAGGTCAGTGCGAGAGAGCATCGACCACGTCCCAAAGTAGGGAGTGACGTGCAAAAAACCTGTAAGTGAACAAAAGTCCGGCAAACGGCATGGGTGGAATCAGATAGGAGATCCCGAGGAAACCGTAACACGAGATGTGCAATCAAAAAGATCAGTTTCCAAGCATACTAACCATCTATGTGATCCAACAGGTGGATTGCAAGCTCATCGCCGACACTTTTGAGAAGAGCGACGGAACCAAGCTGTAGTGATGAATTGGTGTCACCTCCAACCGAGCTCACATGAACTATCGACTGAGCTGTTGCGCTCGAAGTCTTCCATGCGTAAACAACGGCTGTGTCGCATTCCGGAGTGGGTAGGGTATAGGTTGTTGGCCGATTTCGATAAGCGTGTCTGAGGAACACATCGAGCAGGGAGATGAATGGTTCGGTTTGCACTGGACCTTCAACACCTTTAAACAAAGAGTAAATGAAGGAAAACAAGATGAACAGTGAGTAAAAGATAAGGACGACATGAATGAAAGACGAACTAGCTAGTAACGCTAAATTAGAAGCGAGAGAGAAGGACGAAGTGTTGGCCATTTAATCTTCGTCAGTATTGCCTCAGTTGCATTGTGAAAACAGTGGGTTTTACAAACGACTAGTTGTAAAGTATCTATCAAACGTATCAACCACAGGCGAGAAAAAAGCAGAACAGGAAAAATCCTAAACAAACAAACACAGAGGCAAAACATCGAAAACACTTGTAGCCAAGAACCAGAGGAACCTTGGTGAAGCTGAACGATTATGAGTGCATCCAGGTGCACTCAGTATGTGGGTAACTGTGTTGAACCATAGACGCACTCTAAAGGAGTCAACAGTGAATTCGATCGAAAATTGTAACAACAAAGACTGATAGAGCACGACTCCATTTGTGGGACAAAACCGCGCATCGCTATCAGGCAAATTAAACAGGGGACAGCAGGTGAATGAATAATGTGAATGAACCTCGTTCCTATGTGGTCCTGCAGTTTCTGTTGACGCATATAAGCGTTCGGACAAATAGAGTGGTACTAGTGTACCGTAAGGGTCAGACAAAACTGCTTATATACGTGAAGGGTGCCCCTTTGCACTATTTGGAGTGGGATTATGTCTTGCTCGACTAGGCCAAGGGAAGAGGTGAGTATCCTCCTTAACAGAATCTAGTCCTGCTATAATTACTGAAAAGATCGATCCCGTTCATTTAGACCCGTCCTGCTAGCGTTATAACTGCAGGACAAAGCAAGTGGCATATTTAATCGCCCTATTTTGGCATCAATACTAAGCCAGTGTTGTTCCCTACAGAACAAAAATAATTCGTGTGCCGGAACCAAAACCAATAGATAGCTGTCGTCATCAATATGCTGCTGCAGCGTATAAGCAGTATGGGTATTTCAGACGAACCAGCTTGAAGATCAGTAACATAAGAATAACGAGAGGTTACATATATAGTTACACTTACGAATCCGATATTACCCTAATCTATGACAGCACCCAGACGTGCCAAGTGGCACTGGACAGATCAGTACTAGCTGTCCGTCACTTCGGGCTTTGCTTCGCACCCTCGAAGTGCAAAGCGTTCCTCCAAGATTGGTCTGGACCGCCTCCTACGCTGACCGTTGGTGGGGATCAGGTAAAGTCGTTCAAAAATTCAACTACCTGGGAAGTTGTATCAGCTCCCTTGGGATCGAGAACGAGATCAGGAACCGTAAGGCAAAAGCCCTAACTGCTTTTGCTAACCTTCGACATTTATGGCGCCGGCGCGACATCACTCTCGCCTGTAGGGTAGAGTGTACAATGCAGCGGTAAGTTCGACCCTATCGTACGGTTGTGAAACCTGGCCTCTTAAAGCAGCGGACCTGAAGAGGCTAGTTACGTTCGACCACCGGTGCCGTCGCAATTTAGCTCACATCTGGGGGGAACACCGCGTGAGCAACGGAGCGTGTTCGACGCCTTGTTTATGTCATAGGAAAAGGAACTGAACCGCTCAGCACCGTTATTTCACGCACCAGGCTCCGACTGCTCGGCGACGTGTTACGCATGCCAGTCCACCGACTCCCGCGACGTGCGTTGTTTGCGCGCCGGGGGCGTGGATGGAAGAAATGGAGAGGTGGCCAAGCGATGACTTGGTCCAAAGGAATGAAGACCCTCACTTCCGAGCTGGCCTCATTTGGAGCGTCTCGGCTCCCTGGTTGAGGTCCAAAGGACGATGAACACGTTGGGTTGGATACACTTGCTGACATAACAGAGGAGCCGACCTCAGTGGCGTTCCTGCTGTGAGTTCCTTTGCCCCACCCCATCCCTCTTAGCCTCCCCCTCCAAGCACGATCTCACTATTTAGCCTTATATAATTTTGCATAGTAATTTTTTGATGCACAGTAGCCGGCTGGTAGCTTACCGGAACGATGCCCATTCGTTACCGGCAGCTCAGACGACTTGCACCAGTTGTATTTTATTTTCTCCTTTTTTCTATGTATTGCGGCACAATATCTTAGGTGTTTCCCACCTCTAGTTAACGTGTATGATGAGGATGATGCGAATCCGTACAAGCGCTACCATGTGTGGTCCGTATACGTGGTTGGGACCATCATCTTACACTCGAGCAAAGAGCCCTTCAATGCATGACATTCAATACGGTATGAAATGTCAAGTCCGGATGAGAAGGACGAGAAAGTGAACAAAGTAACCGTCCAGCCGATGACGTCCTTCACGCAATGGGTGAGAAACACCCCAGTTATTTGTGCCACAACAAAATTCAATCGGGTAGCAGCAAAAATGAAAACAACAACAAAGGCGAAACAGAACAAGAATAGTAGAGCCCATTGTTTTATATCACGCAATGACGGTAAGATCGTGATCAGAGGTGAATGCTAAGCAGGAAGGGGCAAAATAAATAAAATCACCACACATGCGCTACAGAGGTCGTAAACGTGTGTACCTAACCGGTGTTGATCGCCTTCCGGACCTAATCGGCCCCTGCCGAAAGGACTGAGCGCTTGCGTTGCAACAATGAGATCGCGTACGTCTGCGTACGTGCAGACGATCTCGCGACATACGCAGCCCTTGCGCGACTGTGGGTGGTTGTATGGCATCGAAGCGAAGGTACGCTGTGCCGGCCATCGCAATGAGACTGGGCCTTACCGTTGTGCGATAATTTGCGTGCCTCAATGATCAATTAAGCCATGCTGGGCGGTGTCTTTTTGCACCTTCAGAGCCACTCATACCAGATTGGTCAATGGTTAGAGGCCAGACAAACTCAGCCTCCTAGTTCTCCAGATTGGGGGTTAGAATTACGGTGGCTTCTTATTCCTTAAAACAGACTCCTTGTAGCCGAACAAA